AATTAATTATAATATATATAGTAATTATTATTATATTATTAAATTGTTTCTATTATTTTTTTTTCTATTATTAAATTTAAGATTTAGAATTAAAATGTTTAATTTTCCAATCCTCTATTTTTATTCGTATGGTATGCAAATACCAAAAAATATCTAAAAATAAACTTTTATGTTAAAAATAAACTGTAGAGAAATTTTTTATTCTCAAAAATAAAACAAAATAAAACGATATATGAAAAAAACAGCACTTTATATATGGAAGATATTTTAATGAAAATAGAAAAATTTTAAGCAAAAAAATACCAAGACACTTTTATTAGACTTTGTAAAATCTTTTTATATGAAAAAAAAATTCAACTCAATCTCGATTATTTAAGAATTAATTTTTTTTTCACTTTATCTCAATTTTCTAGAAATTTTAATTACATATAATAAAATAGAAATAATTTTTTTAAATGAAACAAAATGTAACAGAGATAAAACTACTAATTCAAAACAATTCAAATGCTTCTTCCGTTTCAAACTATACTCACGAAAAACGTATACACATATTTATTAACATATGCATCCTCGAAAATTCATCTGATGAGAGAGCATAATGCCAAGTTGGTCATTTCGCGGAGTTCGAACTCTGGGTCAGTGACAAAAGACAACCGGTGGAAAAGTTGGCTGAATACAAAGAGGGGACACGACAACGTGACACGAGGCCCACAAAGTTAAAAAGTTCGAGGTTCGTCTAGCAGTTGTCTGACGATAATTTAATTAACAGTCTGAGGGGTATGGCGCGTCGAAGGGGAAAGGAGGGTATTTAGTATCGATGTGAAACGATGATGAAGCCGTAGAGACGCGCGGGACAACAGTTTTCAGAAGCTTCCATCGTCCGCGAGTAAATGCTCATTTCGCGAGATTAAAAGTCCTATTTATTTTAAACTCTTTTGTTTCTTGCTCACTGAAGAAGAATTAAACAATTTTAAAAATTTATTTCTCTTACATTAATTATAAGTAATGTATTTAACATATTTAATTATTTAATGTATTTAATTTAATATTTATTGAGCATTCTTTAAAATTTGTTAAGATTATGAATTTTAAGAATACAGTTTTATTTATTATATGCTCGAGTTTTTATCGTGAGACTCCCCCTTGAAGTCAGTGAAGTGAGTAATTTCACGTTGAAACAGTATGTCATAAATTTCCTTAAGTACTTGGGCTTTCAATCCCTCTTCGTCTTTTCGCTACCTGTCATTCTCTATGCTTACCAATAAAGATAAACTAAAGATCAAATTTCATTTCGTTATGAGTTTCTAACGAACGAATATTCTCTTACCTAAAAATATTTGAAAATATAATTTTGTTAGGAAAAATAAATTAGACTTAATTTTATATCCTTAAAAGACACACAGAGTTTTTCAATTTTCAACTTAAAAATTAAAAATTAAAAACTTAAAACTAAATTTCGATACATTTCAAAAAATTAAAAAATGATAAAAAAAGGACATTTTAATTAGAGTATATTTTAAGAAAAATATGTATAGTATATACTTTCTATTCGGAACAGAATGGGCAACGGTAGTCCCATTTCTTTTT